CCAACTGGCCCTCTGTGACGCCATGGTTAGGGACGGCCACCAACTCATCCATTGTACCCTTGAGTGCCCTGGCACTCTTCCATTTCCGAGAATGGATGGTTTGAAGCTTGTCTGAGGCCTTGACACCGCGAGCGACATCAGCAAATCGCTCGCGCAGCAACTTCARAAATTCGGTGAGGGACGTAAATGAGGAGTACGCAAMGGGATCATCACTAYAGTTGGCAGCGCGAACTAGGGACCTTGCAAAACTGGCGGCCTCATCTCTCAGTGCGTGGATRGCAATTARGACTTGCTGATCTAGGGAGACCTGTTGCAAGTGCACATAGGTCTTAACGTTGGCCTCCCAATTGTCAAAGTTTTCCTCCCKCTTCCCGCTGTAGGAATCGGGGAACTTGACTTTGACAGGCTCCCGGYGAGGARGACGTGCTTCCTCCTCCTTGGGAGCTGCCGCCTTGACGCCTTCAATGGCGCCGGTGCAGAACCGCTCAKTCTTGTCGAGGCGGTGACCCACCTCGACTCCAACGGCGCCTACCAGCTCACGRGCAAAGTCTCGAAAGCCCAATCGTATCGAGCGCACAACTATGTCCTGGCTTCTGCTAAAGTCATATTGGTCTGCCTGAACCCGTGCCAGGCATGCGACGCTTCGAGCTATGACTCGCATCTGATTCGGGAGATCGGGCTGGGCGGCTAATTGCGCCTCTATRTTCTTCACTTCCTCTAAGGCCTCTGCCGCCTCCGCTGCCTTGTCAATTCTCCTCTTCTTCTCTCGCATCACCGCTAATTTCCATTCCATCCTCTTCTCGTCTTCCAAYGCTTGACGTTTCAGAGGGTCTTTCTYTGCCTCCCAAGCCTTCATGGCGGCTTCTTGCTGATCCTGCGGGATGTACATACTAACCTCTTCCTCTTCTCCCACAGTCAGGTTGGCAACCCATTCAGAKATCCTCTTCTCCAGGTYTCCACCGGTATTACTACTGGGCTGCCCACTACTCCTTTGCAGTGGCGGTCCTTCCTCTTCTTCATCCACCTCCTTCAGCTTCTCTTCTTCTTCCTTTTTCAACTTCTCTCTCCCTGGCCATCTCTTCTTCCATCTTCTTTAATTTGGCCGCCTGCTCCTCCTTCAAGGCCTTCTTCTTGGCCTCCTTCTTCTCCTTCTTCTCCTTCTTCTCCTGCAGAATGGCGGCCATCTTCTCCTCCTCCTCCTTCGTGTAAGGGGTGGTGGAAGTCCCACCGCGAGTGGGCCCTACTCTACACGTAAGAGTGGGCCAAAAGCCCAGAGGAAAGAGGAGACGCCAGAGGGTCCCCCAAAGGGAGAATCCCGCAAGTAGCCCATACATCGGATAGTCATCCATCGTGGTGTTGGTGCACGACAGGTGTCCCACTCCTCACCACGTAGACCTACCCGGACACACTGACCTACTGACTGACTCCCTAAGGGCCACAGGCAACTAACCCAAGACTACTCTAAGGCTGTCACTACAGAACCA